TTGACACATTTTTTACTTTGGCAGTTTTTCAGAAACATCATATACTGTGAGTTTTTGGGAAAATTAGAGGTGGCTGTATCATTTTGCGACGCACTGTATTTCGATTTTACCATTAAAGTCATTTCTTCTCTTCGAGTGAATGCGATTAGTGAATCTTTTCGTCTGATTATGTTGAGAAATGGGCTTGACACGGGAAGGCCGTTGAAATATCACTCTTGACGGTGGCGATGGTGCTGGGTGGGCAGTAGCACCGTGCGGGAGCAGGCTCTGCGTTACATTGGCAAATTACTTTGCTTTGACAATGATGAAAATTGTTACTTGCCTCTTCGAATGTTTTGCATTCGACAGGCATGGTTTCAGTTCCTGGGATAATTAGGCCTTCGTGTCAGATATTGCGAATCTACTTTGTAACAGCGGACTTAAAGGCGTTGACATGGATATCACTGTGAATGAAGTGTCACCTATTTTCTTAGTGACATAAGGTCGAAGGGTTACTTGTTTCTTCATAGCAATGTCATGCAGGATTAGTTGGACTTTTATTTGGACCAAGGGCTTCCATTCCATGCACTCACCGATTTCGTACACATAGCTGTTGCTGGGTTCGTGGGCAATACGATAGAATGAACACGATGGAAGTGGTAAAACGCATCCCATGTAAGCCTTCCACATGGAGGTTCACGCCTGACTCCGATGATGTAACCGTTCCGCCGGATTGTGAACCTCTGCGCACCAGCACTAATTTTACGGACAACGCTATTGCAGAAATCATCAGGTTAAGAAGCATTCCTTTGGATGCAATTGCCCCTGTTGGCCAATAATGAGGAATGCCCAACAGATTTTGGACATGAAGATTTGTGATACGTCACATACATGAGGGAGACTGCAGTTCCTTTGCAGCTCGGTATATTTGTTGTCAGGAAAATGTCTCATTGATACTGCTACCACTCCATTGTTTGCCGTTGCGGGCAGTAGGAATGTGAGATTTGTTAAGCTATTCGCGAAATACAGCAAGTTGACCGTAAGCAGAGCTGGAAGGTGCCATTTGGTGGTTTAACGTGAAGTCCGTTACCTTCGCATGAGATGTTCGGCAAAGCATTCACTGATGGCCCCAGAAACAGAGCGGCAATCATGATGACCACTGCCACGTTGATGTGCAGGCATAATACAGGGGGTAGAGATCCGTTAGAGTCGTCGTTGATCCTTGATAACTTCTGGATCGCTTCCTTCGCTTTGATCTTTGCCAAACGCGGCTTATTGCCTTCATTCATCTGGAGTTCTCGGACATTATGATCAGCTTGTGGACTGTTGGGCGGAACCTTGTCGTTTTTTGCAGAAATTTCCAGCGGGTAGAGTTTATTTACAGGCCGTAGCCATCCATGTTTGTGGGGCATCAACAGTTAAACAGACCTCACGAGATCATCGCAAGCTCTCATTAGGTCGACAACTTTGCCATAACTCCGGGAGCCTCTTGGTAGATTTTCTTGTTCGACCAAGGCAATCTCGTCAGTTCTCTCAGTTTCACATGTCGTTGTTGTTTTCTGTTTATAGCCTGTATTTCGCGAAAATCTCTTAAAAATTCTGTGTATCCCAAATTTCGAACTGACTTGTTCCGCATGTATGGCCTGCTTAGCTTGGACAGCTGTCTGAATGAGTTTGGGAGCAAACGTTGGATCTGTGCCCTCGTCCTTGTCCATCTCAGCTAGACTGTATTTCAGGTTGTTCTGCAAGAAATCGATTGGCCGCAAGGGGATGTCTTCCGTATTTGCATTGCTTATACCCGTAAGTGGTCTAGTGTTGTTTATGGCCTCAATTTGCGTCATGATGGTGTAGAGCTGTGCGTGTGACAATCTTTTCCGCCCGACGGATTTAGTGAAGGCACGTTTGACTGACCCTACGAGCCTTTCCCGCGCTCCACCCATCCAGGGTGCCCCTGGTGGGTTGAAGACCCATTGTATTCTATGGTTAGAGCTATAGGACATTACTGAATCGCCCGTGCTCTCGTTTGGAAAAGACATTTTTTCAATGATTTGTTGACCGAGTTTGAAATTCGTGCCACAGTCTGTTCGAATAATAGTGGGAACCCCTCTCCAAGAAATAAACCTTATAAAGAAGTTCAAGAACGCCCCTGTGGACATATCTTCCACCACTTCGAGATGCGCTGCTCTAGTCGTGAGACACGTGTATAGGGAAACATAGTATTTTTCATTGTTTTTGGAGTGGAAAGGTCCCATGAAGTCGCAACCGACTGATTGGAAGGGTCTCGTTAACACAGTCCTGTCTTTGGGTGAAGGAGGCATTTCTGGTGCTCCAAACGAGAGTCCCTGAGCTTTTTTGCATGCGACACAGTTTTTTAGGTACTCCTTGAATACCCCACACGGACGTGGTATCCAAAAGCGTTGCCTCGCAAGACATAGTGTGTGGTCCTTTCCGGAATGGCCATTTTTGATGTGAATGTCGGTTACGACGAGTCGTGTGATATCAGAATTTTTCTCCAAATAAATGGGGTTCTTCACAACGTAGGGGACTGGTGCATTCTGAATGCGAGATGCGTTTCGAATGATTCCGTTTCCATCGCGAGAGATTTTCTTCTGTGGGAACCTCTTTTTAAGCGTGTTTAGGGTAATTGAAGCATGTGCTTCCTGAAGTAGAAGAGTTTCACTTAGTTTTACATCTTCCGCCGTGATCTCATAGCCGACGTCNNNNGCATGAAGTACTTTTCCTACACGCGCAACAGTCCGCAATGCCTTAACAAGCGTGAGAATCGTGCAAGTGAGATTAGACCGGGATCACTGCTAGTACTGACACCTGCTAATTGTACAGTTATAGCGTAGTCTCCTAGCGTTTCCGAATCCTCTTCCACTTCTTTTTGTTCATGGATAACAGCTAGCTTTCTCAGTCTTGTGGGTATTTTTTCGTTGTTGAGCCATTGTGGACCGCGCACCCATGGTAGATCAACTATGAGGGAAGCGTCTGCTCCTCTTGTTCCGGCATCAGCGGGATTGTCTGCCGTGCGAACGTGAAAGAAATTCACTTTTATTCCCACGGACTCGAGACCATCTTTTATTTTGAGAATGTGTTGTTTCTCAACGAACAATGGCAATTTTCTACTGGATTTGATCCAAGACAGCGCAATTTCGCTATCACTGAGCAAGTTGATTTCATTGAGCTTGATTCTGATGGCGGAGGCGATGTTTTTCGCAAGCCGAGTGGCCATCAAGATCGCTACAACCTCCAGCTTTGGTATAGTTTGCTTTGTCTTTTTTGGGGTAAGCCGTGTTTTTCCGCTTATTAAC